AACAAATATCGTGTATTCATTTCGTATCAAAAAAAAAGAAAGAAACTTATAGGACATTGTAATATCTGATGAGGAAAGTTGATTACGAATGAGAAACTATAATTTAATGATATTATTTCATGTATATAGATATTTGTCGTAAATACATAATACAATAAGATTGGAAAATTATATAATAGATAGATCATAGAAAATTCTTCCATGTGAAAATCAAGTACATTACATATCATTCTTATAATATTTCTAAGTAAACGGTAGTATGTGCTGATTAAACGATATACTATTTTATAATGTAGATGATCAATTTAAGACGATTAATTCCGATAATAAAATATTTCGAGATCTTATTCGATAGATATATTTGTTAATATATAAATAGTTCTTAATTAACTTACCATTAAATAGTTTTTTAATTAACTTTTCAAAGATGAAGACCATTAAATAAACATTCCATGATCGAAATAAAGATTATTATACACGTGGACCAAAATTAATACTTTGTTCTTTCAAAATAATAAAAAGCAAAAAAAAAAAAAATTTGCAGAAAACTATATATTACTTATTTACTTATTTATTTACTATATATATATTACTTTTTTATCTTTTCGATAATATATAATACATAAAAAAAAAAGAAGTTTAATAACTATATTAAGAATAAAAAGATCTAATAAATTTTTTTCTATTATCATTTGTATATTCATTGTTTATTAGTATGTCATTTATTAGTATATAGTTTCATCTAGTTTAATAAAAAACACAAATATATAATATAAGTTTTGAAAATTCAAGCAACAAAAATCAACAACACAACAAAGTTCTATTTATTAAAAACAAAAAACATATTTATTTTTTTATATGTACAATGATCTATAGTTTAAGATCATTTAAAGTGAATTTCAAAGAAAAATAATTTATTTTTGAGTGAATTTATTTTATGAGAACGATAAAACTCTATCGTATTTTTTCTGATTTATGTCAGTAATGTCGCATTGGTAATTAAAAATATTTAAATAGTTTTATTTTAAATGAATTTGTGTTTCTGGCTAATAAACTGATAAATTTATAATGAATTTATAGATATTTATAAAAATTAGTTTAAAGTTTTACAATATGTTATATAATGTATTTCTCTAAACTTACAAAACATTCTGAAAACATTCATTATTTGCTAATTGAGCGTTAAAGTTTAGAGATTAAAAATAACAAAAATGCAATTTATCAAATATAAATATTTATAAATTGATATATTATAATTAATAATTTGAATATTATAATTAATAATTCATTTTAACTCTAAATATTCATATATATATATATATATATATATATATATTCATAATGTTTTTATTACTTATAAATATTCACATGTTAATTATTTATTACAAATTGTTTGCTTTATTACAAATCATATATTTCTAAAAGTTAAAATTGCAAACTTATATTAACTTATTTTGAATAAATAATATTAAAAGATTGTTTCAAATAAATTAAAAATAATAAGATTAACTAATCTTATATAATTATTTTTATATAATAATTATTTTAAATTAATATTATTTTAAATATTTTATTTAATTTTTTTATTTTCATAAAATAATAGATATAAAATGATACTTAAATTCATTTAAAGTGATATAATTTACAAATATTTATATTATAGTTAATTTCAAATTTTTTAAATTTTTTAAATATTTTTCTCGAAATATAAAATAATATGTATGTATATGTATTGAGAAATCATATGTACACATTGTATAAATTTTAAAATAACAATGTGAATTTAATTTTCACAATTTTCTATTTTACTATTAATTATATAATCAAAGAATATATTTATTATAATCAAAGAATTACTTATATATTATTTAAGAAGTTTGAATAGAACATAAACTATTAATACATTTAATATTTGCAAATTTCAAATAAATAATATTTACCTATCAACATTGTTCTAATATGGAATATACGATGCATATATGTAGATATATATATATACAGAAGATCCCATGTAAAAATCGTCACGATTTTTTTTCACATTCAATAATCTAAAAAAAAAGATCATTTTAAATAAAAGTTAGTCAGTTTTTTATTGGCTATAAATTATAATATTAAAATTTAAAAAAAAAAAATAAAAGCTATCTATTTTAGATTTTATAATGTTGTTGCTTATTTTAATATAAGTTCAACGGTCTTTTATATAACCTTAAAATGACTATGAAATTAAAAATATGAAATCAATGAGCAGGAATATTTTCCTGGAAAATTATCTCTCATTTTATTTTATAGCATATAAAAACTATGTACATATCTTTTATATTTATTCAAGGATAATAGCATATCATATTTTTTCATTATTGAAATATATTTTTTATAATCTATGTTTATACTACAATTTACTCAAATGATAAATTTTTTGATGAAATACAACAACAAAAAGAGTTATAAATTGTTGATTTTTTTAATTAGATTATTCATTAATTCTTAAATTCAAAATATGGAGAATATTAATATATAGAACACTAAAATACTTATTTTTTTGGTAAGTTGGTTCCATGATTTGTTTTCACAAAATTTTTTTATGAAGAATATATAAAGATATATATAAAGAATATGAAAATATGAAGAACTGAAGAATTTTTAATATGTAAAATGTATTTTATATAAACTTAACATTTTTTATAAAAATATTTCCGTTCATTCATTTCATATTCCTGATTTTACAGTAGATAGGTCATTAAATTTTTACATAAACTTTAATATTATAAAATTTAAAGCAAATAATGGCATTTTCAAATGTTTTGTTTTTTCAATGAAATTTTTTTTCTTCGCTTTTTCTAAATCTTCTAAATCTTTTTTTATTGAAAAATTATTTTTTGCGAAATTTTACATTTTTTTAGCGACTATAATTATATTGTAATTATAGCCGCTAAAAGAAATTGATTAACTTTATGAAAAATAATTTTTTTCAAATTATCGGAAGTATTTAAAATTGAAGGAACCCTTTTAAATAGAGTATTGCATAATGCTTGATCTTAAATTTTTAAGAAAATAATATTTTATAAAAATAAGACTTATATTGATAATTGAAAAAGAAAAAATTATATTTAGAGACAATGACAATAAAGTTCATATATTTACCATTCATTAATCATATCTTCTTTAAATACACCATAATTATATACATATTATATGAAATTTAACGAAATAATTTCATTAAACGAAAATTAACGCACATCTCAGTTTGACATAATTTTTATTTCACACATAATAAACGCAGTTGACATATCACAAATGAATATCAATGAGTAGTAATATAAAGTTAAACTCTGAAATTGCACAACATTTAAAAATAGAATAAAACAATCTGTACGTATCTCTTCAAACAATTTAGGAAGTACTAGCTCCCATAGAATTGTGTTTTAATAGATTTGGCGCATTGCATGTTACAATAAAAGATATATTAGCGTAAAAGGTTCTCTATATCTATAAATTATATCTATAACTAAAATTGGAACACTTTGGGATCAATCAATGAAAATATAAGGCATATTTCATTGCAAACTGAATTTATTTACTTACTTCGCTTATATCATAGTCATTTAAATCATAATATAATAGAATGCTATCAAGACTAACCTATGACATGTGATTAATTTATGTTTGATGAAATTTAGATTTGTAATTACATTATTTTATCGTAATAGTTTACTTTATGAAAGCTTTATTAAGCAATTATTAAACTAATTATAATGTCTACTTACTATTAAAAATATTAATATTTATAATAATTAGTATTAATATTTATAATAGAATATTACTAAAATTATATTAGAAATTTCTAATTTTTAATATAATATTATTTTTAAAATTATTATTACAATATACATTTTAAATGCATAAATTATAATAAACTGTAATTAAACAATTACAAATTTTCAATCTTTTTATAAAAAAATAATATATTTTCATTAAAATTTTTGTATATTTTAAATATCAAATATAAATTTAAAATTTTTATAGCCATTATATTTTAATAATTGCGTATATATAATATTTAAAACAACAATAGCTATAAAAACAATTTTATTATAATATGGAATAATATATTTTATTAAGCATAATAATCTTTCATTACTTAAATAGATGATTCATTCATATTCAGTATATAATAATATACAATGTATAATTTATATATTATATATCTTTAAGTTTTATTTAAAAAATTATATTATAATTTTTTAT